TAAAATATAAGAATATTCACAGCAAAACTTTAATAGTAAAGAAGGATTATGGCAGTAAAAGTCACTGAAAACACAAACATAGGAGAAAAATTAGACAAGATTCACTGACTCCTACTGAAGTCTCAAGACCCAAGATTCAAGATTCAAGACTCCTACTGAATAATTTACTCACAGCAATTTTTTATAATGACCAAATGGGCTTTAGTATTTAAAATTTTAAATCAACAGTAAATAACTTCATAGAGTAAAGGGGAAAATACACACTATTTTTTAATGTATGAAAACCTTATTTTAAAACCATGTTTTCAAAGAAGAAAAATTGCTCCCCAAAATCTTGATATCGTGATAGCTTATACAATAAGACTCTAATTTAACAAAACAAAATACATGGAAAGAGAGCAAAAATACTTTAAATGAAGGAGAGAAATGAAAAAATGAGTAAAGTATGAAATGATTTCTGTATAAACATAACAAAAACAAGAAACTAGTAGTGTATCTCTCTGCACAGTATAATCAGAAAAAAGTCAACTATTAAGTCAAATATCAAAATATCACCAGTGATAACTGAAGAATTGAACTGGAAAATACAAGTATTTTTCAATGCATATGCATCTGTGCTTTTTCAGTGGTTACTAAGTCTATGTATCACTTTTCAAGTTTAAAAACAGGTAGAAAATTTTCAAATGTTTGAACTTATGTACTATATATCAAAGGAGCAAAAATTCCTATTATAAAAGGATTTACTACTTTGTTATATGATTTAATAAAGACTGCTATTTCCTCACAATCTGCTGAGAAAAAAAAATTTATCTTCCTCTATCTAATCTTTAAATAAATAAGAGAGGCTTGCCTATCTAATTTAAATGTCTTGCTAAAACAGAAACAAAATAAAGTCATTTCAGCTGAATGAATAGAGAAAAATTGAAGTACTGATCAACAAATGGCAAAATTCAAGGAAAGGGAAATAAAAGACAAGCTCTGAACCCTTAAACTACCTTCCACCTCATGATAATTAAGATGAAAATTCTATTGGACTAAAATCTATAGAAAGTATTCTGCTCTCAACAATTCTCCATTCCCATAATCCTTACAGGACTGAAAATGTAAAATCTTTCTTAATTTGTGTTTAGAAAATCCATGTTCCTCCTACAAAATGCAAAGATCTTACATGGTCTTGAATACTAGTCTCAGGAATCTAGTCTTTATTCCACAAAAAAGAGCCAGCCAGTGGAAAGAAACTTTAACACTCAATACCTGTGCTTTCAAATGATAAATCTGGAAGTTGTAGAAAGAATGAAACAGGGAGCACTTGAAGAGGAGAGAGATCTGTTGAGAGATTATAATAGTCTAATACTAAAGACTTCAATTAGTGGAAGCAACATGAGAATAGTGAAAACTTAGGAACAGTAAGAAAACATTTCATAAGATTTTGTAAATGGATAATAGTGTCAGAAACACAGCATGAGAGAATATAATGTCACAATAATTATAAAAGGTAAACACATTTTCAAAAAGAAGGTTGCATTCATATTACATTCATATTATGGAATACTGAGCAAACATTAAGAAAATTAAGCCAGAGATATTAAAACTAATATATGGACTTAAAAAAAAGATCTAAGATGAGACTAGATAATGATCTGACAGTGGAGATCCTAGTCTAAGAGTGTTCTAGAGAACTTTTTTCCTTTAGGATGGAAGTGAAGTGAAGCACAAAGAGAAGTTACTTCAGAGAGACTACAAGGGCAGCCAGAACACTCAGAATGGACTATTACACTCCTATTTTATTCTGAATATAGAATTATCAAGCCAGTAGCAAATTCTCCATTTAAATCCCTCCTTAAGGTCCTTAAGATTAGCTGTAGGATTTCCTTAACCTAGCATCTTGCTTCTTCCCCTTTCTGGAAAAGAAGAACACCAACAATGTTCTTTAAACCCTTTTTTTCCTGGGTATTTTTTGTGGTTGTATTGGTAGGAGAAACATATTTCAATGACTTAAAAACAAATTTTACCACAGAAAAACTGTACATTTTTCAATGAGCAGATATATCAGAGGATAAGGCTAAGAAAAAAATTCTTTGCATACATCAAAAACACTTTTAAACAAAACAAATAGAAAATAGTATTAATGACAGTTTATTCATCAGTGAAATGAAAATAATATGTAGCCCGCTGAGCAGTTATAAGGATTAAACTAAACTAGATCATGTATATAATGTGCCTAAGGCACTTGCTGACACATGATACAGGCTCAAACACTGTTAACTAAGACGAATTTCTAAAAGGTCCTCAATACTCTAGTTATGTAATCAGTGAACTAGACAGAATTCATAAGACATACTCATTTTTTTAATAGACTTGTCAATTATTAAAAATATATGTCCTATTCAAGTAACAATATGGAGTATAGAAATACTGGAAGAATTAGTTTCTGTCTTCAAAAATAAGACTTTTTCCCCAGTCACTCATTGATTATATATCATCACTCTTGAGTTGAGCCAAAACTAGGTAAAACTTGAGATATGTATGCTAAATATGCATTGAAGGAAACAGTAAAAAATAAATTCTTCAAAAGGAGAAAATTAAAGAAAGAAGAAAATAGTTATCAAAATTCATCAATCACTTAATCCTTACCTTGTCTTTTTTGTAAGAAATTGTTTCAGATCCTGAAGGATATTTCCTGTCTTTCGCCCAACTTCTAAATACAAGTTTGGTCGGTCAAAACCGGTACACACAATCTGAGGATGCTTCAGTTTTAAGCAACGTACAATATCCTCCCGGATTGAAGAACTTGCAGTAGCAGTGAGTGCAACAATTGGAACCTGAAGTAAAACAGATTTTAAGGACAGGAGAGAGCTTATTAGCTCCTCAAATTTCTATTGCCTTCTTAAAAAAAGAGACTGGTAAAACAAGTATCAGAGATAACATTAAAATTATTCTTTCATAAAGAAGAAAAATAATTTCCTACTTACCTGTTCTCAGTTTTCTGAAAATGACATTTCCTTTTTTAAAAGTTAAAAATCATCTAAATAAAACATTACTAGGGCTTCCAAAAGCAATCCACCTTGTCTTATTGAATTAACTCTGCTTAGCCTCTTACCACTCCATTTATTATTAACATTTATTACTTTTTTAATATAAACAGCGGTATGTTGTTGTTATGTGCCATCAAGTCGGCCCGACTCATAGCGACCCCTCCTTGGGTTTCCGAGGCAGTATCACTACGGAAGTAGGCTTGCCCGACCTTCCTTCCGAGGAGTGGCTGGTGGGTTTGAACCGCCAGCCGTCTGGTTAGCAGGCAAGTGTCTTAGCCACTATGCTACCAGAGCTCCCAAACAGCGGTATAGCTATACCTTATTTTTTATTAATATTGCAACTCATAGCAACCCACATTGGGCTTCCGAGGCTGTAAGCCTTTACAGAAGTAGATCGCTCCATCTTCCTTCTGCAGAGTGGTTGGTGGGTTTGAGCCACTGACCTTCTGGTTAACAGCCTAATGCCTTATACACTACCCCACCAGAGCTTCTTGTTTTAACGTATAATTCAAAAATCATATACCCTTTAATTCACTGAAAATATAATAGTACAAAACAGTATTTTTTTTTTTTTACTCCTATATTAAATATAAATTGGTCCCTGAGTGGTACTACTGGTTGCCCTTCACTACTCCTTAAAGTTGGCAGTTCAAATCAACACTGAGGCACTGCAGAAGAAAGATCTGCCAATCTCCTCCCAGAGATTAGCCAAAAAACACTCTATGGGCAGTTATACCTCGTTACATTGGGCCTGCTTTAAGTCAGAATCAACTCAAGAGCAATGGCTTTGGTTTTTTGACTTATACTAAACATACTGGTTTATAGCTTCCCAGATGTAGAAGACAAGCTCCCAATTATCAAGAAAACCTCTCTCTAGTGATACTAAATTAATCATGGCAAGTTATATGTAAGATAAACGTATAAAATGAAACATGTACCATTTATTGATTCTTTGAGCAACCAAATCATGTTCTATCTCAATCTAGCAAATACTTCTTGATTGGATTAGTGGTCAAGCAGGAGGCACAGCAGGAATCTTGAAAAATATGAATATGCAATCTTTCAGAAATTCTACAGTAGGACAAAATACCTTCTATAAAACTAGATTTAATATATTTGTCCTTATTAACAAAGAGTTATAGTGATGCAATTAGTTCACAACGAGAAAAAACAGACTAAGTCTTAAAACTGTTCCTACATCATTTGCTGTTCTATCTCCAAAAATACAACTTTAAAATACTGTTTTTAGAGCATAACAAAATAACTCTTTAGATACACATCATTTATCTTACAAACCAGCATAAGTCAATCTTATACATAAGTGAAAATTTATATGCAAATTTGACCATCTGCACAGAAATGTAAAACTTCACTCAAAATTAAAACAAGATAAAATTAAATAAAATCAATATAGTTTACTGAATTAAAAATTATCTCAAAACTCATATAAAAAGTACCATTAATTAAATTTGGGGAGTTTTCTAAAATGGAAAAAAAAAAAAAAGTGTGACTAGAAACTGGCATGATTTTTACATTCTCTATTCTTAAAACTCAGGAGTAGCTAATGGAGGCCAGGAAGGAAGCAAGGCAGTACAGCAAGGTTTGGAGTGGCTGAGGGAGGCCAGGAAGGAAGCAAAGTGGTGTGGAGGGTTTAGAGCAGCTGAGGGAGCCATAAAGTGGGTAGAGTGGTTTGGAAAAGCTAAGGGAGATAAATTTGTCAGTTTGTCGTACTGTGGTGGTTGCTAAGACAGACTAGGAAGAAGGAAGAGGCCAGCCACTTTTCAAAGACATGGCCAGTGGAAACCTTACATATAGCAGTGAAACACTGTCTGATATATTACTGGAAAACTTTATGAATACCTTTAACACTGTGCGGTATAGTGCTGGAAGATGAGCCCCTCAGCTTGGAAGGCACTCAAGATATGACTGGGAAAGAGCTGCCTCATCAGAGTAGAATAGACCCTAATGACATGGACAGAGTAAAGCTTTTGGGACCTCCATTTACTGATACTGCACAACTCAAGATGAGAAGAAACAGTTGCAAACATCTATTAATAATTAGTACATGGAATGTACAAAGTATGAATCTAGGAAAATTGAAAGTTGTCAAAAATGAAATAGAACACACAAAGATCGATATCCTAGCCATTAGTGAGCTAAAATGAATGGGTTCTGGCCATTTTGAATCATACAATCATATGATCTGCTATGACAGGAATGACAAATTAAAGAGGAATGGTGTGGTAAGCATCCTCAAAAATAATATACCAAGATCTGTCCTGAAGTACATTGCTGTCAGTGATAGGCTAATATCCATATGCCTACAAGGAAGACAGGTTAATATACTATTATTCAAATTCATGCACCAAACACCAAACCCAAAGATGCGGAAATTTAAGATTATTACCAACTTTTGCAGTTTGAAATTGACGAAACATGCAATCAAGATGTGCTGATTATCACCAGTGATTGGAATGCAAAAGTTGGAAACAAAGAAGAATCACCAGTAGTTGGAAAATATGGCCTTGGTGATAGAAATAACGCTGGCAATCACATGACAGAATTTTGCAAGACCAACAACTTATTCATTGCAAATATCTTTTTTCAACAACACAAACGGCTTGTGACTTCCCAAAATGGAATACACAGGAATCAGATCAACTACATCTGTGGCAAGAGGTGATGGAGAAACCCTGAATCATCAGCCAAAACAAGGCCAGGAGCTGACTGTGGACCAGACCATCAACTGCTCATTTGCAGTTCAAGCTGAAGCTGAAGACAATTAAAACAAGTCCACAAGAAGCAAAACATGACCTTGATTATATCCTTCCTGAATTCAGAGACTACCTAAAGAATAAAATTGATGCACTGAACATCAATGATTGAAAACAAAAGGAACTGTGGGATGACATCAAGAACATCATCCACGAAGAAAGCAAAAGTTCATTAAAAAGACAGTAAAGGAAGAAAAGACCAAAATGGATGTCAGAAGAGACTCTAAAACTTGCCCTTGAACAGAGAGTAGCTAATGCACATGGAAGAAATTATAAGATAAAATAGAAGGAAAGGATTACAATGCAATGCATATTAATTATAGGATAAAACAGAAGATTTCAAAGAGCAGTTCAGGAAGATAAAGTCAATTATTACAATGAAATATGCAAAGACCTGGAGTTAGAAAATCAAAAGTGAAGAACACACTCAGCATGTCCCAAGCAGAAAGAAATGAAGAAGAAATTTAAGCTTCAAATTACAATACTGAAAGATTCTATGGGCAATATATTGAACGAAGCAGGAAGCATCAAAAGATGAAAGGAATACACAAAGTAGTGACTTTGGGTACCAAAAAGAACTGGTTGATGATCACCCATTTCAGGAGGTGGCATATGATCAAGAACCAATGTTACTGAAGGAAGAAGTCAAAGCTGCACTGAAGGAAGTGGCAAAAAACAAGGCTCTCCAGGAAGGAATTGATGGAATACCCAATGGGATGTTTCAACAAAAGGATGCCACACAGAAGGCACTCACTCAGTAATGCCAAGAGATTTGGAAGATAGCTACCTGGCCTACTGACTGGAAAGATCCATATTTGTACCCATTTCAAAGAAAAAGGATCACACAGAATGTGGAAATAATCGAACATCATCATCAATATCACACACAAGGAAAATCTTACTGAAGATAATTCAAAAATAGGTGCAGCAGTATACTGACAGAGCACTTCCAGAAATGCAAGCTGGATTCAGAAGAGGGCATGGAATGAGGAATATCATTGTTGATGTCAGATGGATCTTGGCTCAAAGCAAAGAATACCAGAAAGAAGTTTGTGTTTAAGGATTCGATTGTTTGCATCATAACAAATTATAGGTAACACTGAGATGAATGGGAATTCCAGAACACTTAATTGTGCTCATCAGAACCTGTAAATAGACCAGGAGGCTGTTGTTTGAATAGAGCATGGGGACACTCCAGGATTGTCTCCTTTCACCATACTTATTCAATCTGTATGCTGAACAAATAATCTGAGAAGCTATATGAAGAAGAATGTGGCATCAGGATTGAAGGAAGACTCAGTACCAAGCTGCGATATGCAGAGAACACAACTTTACTTGCAGAAAGTGAAGATGATTTACAGCACTTACTGTTAAAGCCTGAAGACTACAGCCAACAGTATGGATTACACCTCAATATAAAGAAAACAAAAATCCTCACAATTGGACCAATAAGCAGCATCACAATAAATGGAGAAAAAAGTGAAGTTGTCAAAGACTTCATACTACTCCTTCTACAATTAACACTAATGGAAGCAGCACTCAAGACATCAGATGATGTACTACATTGGGCAAATATGCTGCAAAAGACCTCTTTCAAGTGCTGAAGAGCAAAGATGTCTCCTTGAAGATTAAGGTACGCCTAACCCAAGCCATAGTATTTTCAATTGCCTAATATGCATGTGAGAGCTGGAGAATGAATAAGGAAGACCAAAGAAGAGTTGATACATTGCAGTTGTGGTGCTGGAGAAGAATGCTGGAAGTACCACAGGAGGCTAAATGAACTAACAAATCTGATTTGGAAGAAGTACAGCCAGAATGCTCCTTGGAAGGAAGAACGGCCAGACTTCATCTCACATACTTTGGTCATGTTGTCAGAGGAACCACTCCTTGGAGAAGGATATCATACTTAGTAAGGTAGAGGGTCAATGAGAAAGGGGAAGGCCCTCAACTAGGTGGACTGACACAGTGGCTGCAACAATGGGCTCAGGTATTGCAAGGATTGTGATGCTGGCACAGGACTGGGCAATATTTCATTCTGTTGTACATAAGGTCGCTATGAGTCATACACAATTGAATGGTACCTAACTACAACCACATTCTTAAATTTCACAAAATTATTTTAAAATGTAGCCAAAAAATAATCTCATTACTTGTTGGCTAACAATCAAAATGTCCTCTAAATTGAAGAGGAGTTCCAGTAAGATGGCGGAATAGGCAGAAAGACTACACAGACCCTCTTCAACAAAGAAAAGGGGAACCAATTAACACAGATACAGAAGATAATCCTGGAACCCTGAGCCTTGAAGGGAAGGATATAGAAGTGGAATAAACTCCAACTAGCAGAAGAATTTGCATGAAAATACAGAAAAAGGAGACATATGGAGCTGCGGTGTGGCAGAGATTCTGAGTGATCCTGACGGCACAGACAGCTTGGAGATTGCTGAGTGGTGGTAGGTCCTAAAAAATGAACCTAAAAATCACCCTGCTAGCCAGGGACTGCATGGAGGACTGCTCCCCAGGTGGCTGGGGAATAAAAGGCAAAGCAGCAGCAAAAAGGAAGGAGGGCTGATCTGTGGAATTTGCCTATCTGGAGGGCACAGACATTTTGAATGTTTACAAGTGCCTTGACCATTATGGATATTTAAAGTGACGGTGTTCTCCAAGATTCCAAGGGGTTAAGAACAGGTTCCACTTCCAGTAACCCAAAGGACATTCCAGACCTGGACTACTGAAAAGGTGCGACATTCCCCTTGTTACTCTTATACCCCACACCAGCTTTGTGAACAGAGGTGTGGCCATCCCCCACTCCCAATGACCTTCTGGGCCCGCAGGAACTCCATCGAATTCTGTGTGCTGAGACGAAGCCTGGGTGCCCTGCCCTGCCCTCTCCCGATTTTTTTTTTCTCTCTCTTTTTTCTGTTTTTTAGTTGGCTTGTTTTTGTCCATTTTAAAATTACTATTATTATTACTACGCTCGTCCTTTTTACTATTATTATTTATTCTTCCCCTCCCAGGTCCTAGTATTCAGCTTTTTTTCTTTCCCTTGTTCCTGCTTACAATTTTTTTTTTTCTTTTTTTCTCGTGGTTAGCACTGTTCCTTGTTTTTCTTTTAGCATTTTTTTCATTTTTTAAATCATTATTCTGCTTCTATACCTTTTATCTTTTATTGCCCTATCCACAGATATTGCAGGTTTTCTTCTTTTTTACTTTTTCTTTTTCCCTTTCTTTTTTCTGCTTACTTTTCCTATGTGATTTCATGAAGTATTTTTTGTCCATGTGCTTTTACTTTTTTGATGGTTATTAAATCACTATTTTTGTCTAACTGACTGGGAGACAGTAAGAGTCCCCATAACACACAACTATATCCATACCTACTACAACTTCACTTAGTGAGGGAAAGCCCCCACCTCTTTCTCCACCAATGGGCCAACGATAAAAAACCACGAAGAAGAGCCTGAATCACCCTTGGATGCTCTTCACAAACAGTCAACAGAGATCTAAATACAAAAATGTCACGATGTCTCGGAGACAAGAGACCATCACAATCCACACAGAGAAGCAAGATAAAGTGGTAGAAACAAGGGAGCAGGATACAGACCCAGAATACATCGCTGAGGAAGAGGCAGAATTGGAAATCTCTGATAAGGAATTCAAAAGAATTATATTTAGGTGTCTTCAAAGGATTGAGAGACAAAAGAAAACACAGA